AAATTACCTAATAACGTAACTATTTAATTAAGCCATAATAAGGCATTTTTTAATAATAATAACAATTTTTTTAAAATTAAAATTACAATTTTAAATCGTTAAATAATCGCCATTAAATAAAGCTATTAATTTTAAACCTAAATTAAACCTTTATATTAAATTTAATATTATAGTTTAAATAATATTATAAATAAAAAAAATAACTTATATTTAATATAATTAAAGTTATATAAAATAAATATATATAATTATAAAAAATACTTATATTAAAATCTTAATTACTTGATTAAATAAAGTCACATAATTAAATAAAGTCATTTAATTAAATAAATCATTTAATACACGACTTTTATTCATTATTTAAAATTTTAAACCAAATTTTAAAAATTTATTTTAAATTATATAAAGTTTTTTTTAATTTATATATTTTACCGAAATTATTATTAAATTTATTAAATTATTTAACGTATATTTCTTTTTTTATTATAAAAAAAGTTATTTTTACGTTTATTTATTTAATTTTAAAATTTTTAACGATTATTATTAAAAATAATATGTTATAATTTATAAGTTTTATAATTAAAATAAATATTTTAAAATAGTTTATTTTATTTATTTATTTAAAGGTTTTAATTATTTATTATATTTTATATTTAATAATTTTATTATTAAATTTATATTTTAATTTAAAAATTTATTTATTTTTAAAAATGTTTATATTATTTATAATATTTATTAAAGTTTATGTTTTATTTATTATTAAAAATTAAAATTTAATTTTTATAACGGATTTTTATTTAAATTAAAAATAATTTTATTATATTTTTATTAATATTATTAATTTTTTATTTTTTTAATTATTTTTACATTAACAGTTAATATTAATAAAACATATAATATAAATATTTAATTTTTAAATTTAATTATTTTACTTTTTAATAAATATTATAATTTAAAATAATTAATAACATTTATATTAAAATTTAAATTAAAAAAAATATTTAAAATATTTTTTATTAATTAAATATATAATAATTTTTATAATTAAATTATATTATTTTAATTAATATTAAAAATAGTTTAACGATATTATTTTATTAATAAAAATTTTATAAAATTATTTAATAATTTTTTATTTTAAATATTAATTTAAATATTTATAAATATTATTATAAAAATTATATTTTTTTTAACATTAAAATAATAGTTTTATAAAGTTATATTTATAACGGTTTTTATTTTAATTAATATTTTATAAATAAAATTATTTTAATATTTTAAAAATATATTTTTTATTATTTTTTTATTTAATTTTTTACGTTTTTTTAATAGTAATAAATATTAAATTTTAATATTAATAATTTTAACGTAAATAATATTAAATTTTTATCCGTATATCATTTAAAATAATATTATATTTAAAATATTATAAAAGTTTTTATTTTATAAATAATTAATAATTTATAATATTTTAAATTAATATTATTTTAAAATATTTTCTTTTATTATTATTAATAATAATTTATCTTTAATTATAATATTTAAACTTTTAACTATATTATTATTTTAATATTATTTAATTAAAAGTTATTAAAATAAAATATTATGCCATAATATTTAATTTTTAACGTTTTTCGCCAGAAATTTACCGTTTTTATTAAAATAAATAATTATACATTTACGTTTTTAAACTTTATATTTTTAAAATAATTTAATAAATTAATTAATATATTTTTAAACCTTTTATCAATTATTTATAAAATAAATACTATTAATATAAAAATAATTATTAATTATTATAAATTAATATTATTTATTTTTATATTTTATAATATAAAAAAATTTATATATATTTATAAAAATAACGTTTTTTATATATTTACTTTATAATAATTTATTTTTATAAGATTTTTTTTACATTTTTTCACATATATAAATTTTATAAATATAATATTTTTATACGTTAATTATTTTTTAAATAATATTTTTAAACTTTAATAATAATTATTTATTAAATTATTTTATTTTTTTATATTAAAATTTTATTTTAAAATTAATATTATATATTAAAAACGTTAATTATATATTATTATAAATTTTAAACATAAAAAAGTTATTAAAACATTATCCATATATTATAAATATAAAATTATTTAAAAAAATAATTTTATAAAAGTTTTATTATAATATTATTTATATTTTACGATTAAATAATTAAATAATAAAAATTAAATTTACTTTTAAATTTAAAATATAAAATATATTAATAAAATTAATTTATATTGGTTTTTTTTAATATTATACTTTTTTTTAATAATATTTTTATTAAATATAAAAATTTTAAAATTTCCGATACCGTTAATAATATAATTATTTAAAAATAAAATAAAATTAAAAAAGGTAAATTTTTATTAATTAAAAATAACATATTAATTACATTTTAAATTAAATATTTAAACGTTTATTAATAAATAATTCTTTAACGCTATTATATTAAATTATTTTTTTATTTAAATTATTTAAAATTTTCTTTTATATGTTAAAAACGTTATAAAATTTTTATTTTTAAATTTTAAATTTTTTTTATTAAGTTTTTTATTTTTTTTTAACTTTAAATATAAATTTTAACATTTAACATTTAAATAATATAGTTTTTTATAATAATTATATTTTTTAACCTTTTTTATTATTGTTTTTTTTTATTTATTAATATTTTAATATTAATACGTTTTTTTCCGCGTTTTTTTTACATTTTAACCATTATGGCTAATATATTTTCACTTAATTAATCGTTTATTTTTTAACAATTTTTTTTAATATTTATTAAATATATAATATTTATAAGTTCGGGAAATTTTACCGTATAAAAAATTTAAAAAATTTAAAATTAAATATAATAACAATTATTTAATTTTTAAATAAAATATATAATAAAATGGTTAATAAATAATTTATATTTTAAACTTATTTTAACGTATTTTTTTTTAAATATTTAATATTTCTTTTTTAAAAATTTAAACATTTTCGAAATTATTTAATTTAACGCTTTTTTAACATTTAGCCAATTAAAATAATAATAAAATTTTTTTTTATTAAATTTTTTTTTAATTTATAAAAATATTTTAACTATTATATTTTCAGATTTTACCATTTATTTTAATATATTAAAAAAGCTATTTTTTAAAAATATAATAATTTTATATTAAACAGTAATTTATTATGGCTATAAATATTTAAAAAAAATTTTAATAATGTTAAATATTTACCCGTTTATATAATTATATTTATTATATATTTTTATAATTATTTCCATAATTTTATACTATTTATAATAATTATTATAATTTATTAATTAAAAAAAATAATTAAATTTAACGTTATTTATTTAAATATTAAAAATATTTATTAATTACGAGATAATATTATTTCTTTTAATATTAATATTTCCATTTTTACTATTATTATTAACGTTATTAAATAATACTCTTTAATTAATTATATTAAATATTATTAGTTTATAAATATAATAATATTATTATTATAATAAATTAAAAAAAATTAAATTTTATTAATATATTAAAATTTTTATTTATACTTTACCGTTTATAATTTATTTTAAAATAATATTATTAATTTTAATTTATAAAATTTTAATAATAATTTCGAAAATATCCCGTTTATTTAATATAAAAAAAATTATTAACTTTTTTTCGATTATAATATTATTTTTTTTTACCGTATTAAAAATTGGAAATTTTTTCCCGTCATTAACGTTTTTATTTTAAAAATTATATTATTTTTTATTTTATAATTTTCTTATAATATTTATTAAATTTAAATAATATTTAATAATTAACGTTTATAATTTAATAAATATTTAAATAAAACGTTTATAAGTAATTTTTTAAAAATTTTTATTATAATTTATAATATTTAAAAATAATATTTATAATTAATTAAAATATTAAAATTTATAATTTTATTAAAATATAATTATCGTTTTTTTTAAAAATATTATAATAAACTTAAAATTTAAAATTATTTATATTTAATTTAATTTATTATTAAATATTAATATTATTTTAACTTAATAATTTTTCCGGTTATTTAAAATCTTTTTAAATTAACTTATTTTAACTTATATATAAAATATTTATTTTATTAACGCAAATTTTAAACTTATAACCTATTAAAAAATACAATATATAAGCTATAATTATATATTAACTTAATTTACCAACTATATAAATAAGAAAAAAGGTCTTTTTTATATATACATTCTATACCAAAATACCATATACTATACCTAAAAGTAATCCCTTGACCACTCATTTTAACAAATATCCACATATTGCTGACGTATATTCGATGAAGAGCTGAAGCTGTCCTTGCTCAATGAATCTCGAACGTGCTACATCCGAATCGGGCACGCATTCGATGCCAAAGACCCGTACGTCATCTCGCAAGAGGCTTCGCCCCTGTATTATCGTAACTCCGCCACGATGTGGTTTCTTTCTGGGGTCTATTTCTTCGAAATGACAATATCAAATCCAGAAAGGGGCACCTATACCTAATAACCAAGCCGGTCGATATGCTTCCATATGCGCGTATTGCTCTTGGAATATAGGGAATTAGCTGAATATAGGGAATTAGCTAATCGAGACACGGATGCGTGGATATGTACTTAGTCAGATTTAGTGTTCATAGAGTCTGGTCCCTTGTACAAGTGCTTATCTTAGTGAGATGAAATATGCTGGATGAAAATACCATTTTCCCAATAGGGATAAATTCACTTCGTTCATCCACTCCAGATGTGACCTGAACCCCGCCATCTCGGAGAGGGCTCAAGATAGAATGGTATCCGAGACGAAGAGATCGTCCCGTTACTATGATTCCAAATCGGACTGGGGTCATGGTAGGCTGGGCTTACGTGCTTTGGGGAGAATTATTTTCCAACGTCTTTGATTCGCCCATTACAACGACATGACCGCGACTAGAGGAGGATCTTCATTTGATAGAGTGCTGAGTAAAAAAACTTATGTGATGTAGTTTATTTTATAACATCAATAGTTGCTACTTTAATACAGCGTAAGAAAGGTGCTAAGAATTCTCCCTAAAGTTGTACAATATCCTTCGTGGGTGCCCAACTCATAATACACACATTTAGGGGACCTAGATGTGAAATTATGGCATGATTAGTATTCTCATTCTCTTCTCATGACTTCTCATCAGCTTAACCTTCCAGCTCGGCTCGAAAACCAGAGTCTCTTCCTATAGATAGCTTCCTGAACGAGTCGATGCTAGGAGCAGGACTCGGGATTGATCCGGTTAGAGATGCTCGGGGGGTTGAGGTTATGCCCGCCGTAATCGATGATCGTTTTTCTACGGCGGATAAAAACGTCCCGGATGATGAGATGCCTAGGTAAAGTCGCGTATCAGCTATTTGTAATCTCATTTATTATATTCATATTCCTTAGTTCGTTGGTTAAACACTTACTCGCCTGATATATGAGCCCGCTGCCATCTTCGCTCATGAGCTTTCGTGGGAAGCCACTGATGGGTAAGACTACTACCCCACTATGGTAAGGACGAGTCTGCAAGCAGAGGGATATGTTGACCTGTGCATCCTCTGTTATGGTACTTATTCGGACAGGGTCAAGTTGGAAACCACCCTGTAAGTGCATATCTTGTAGTACAGAGTTCGTGAGTACAATCTGCCGCGGGGGCCAAGATGCACCTTCATCTAGTATCTCAAGGAGGAAATATGGCTCAAAGTCGCCGTCCAACCGAGATACAAGGAACCACCCGAGGGCCTTCAGCTCGTGCGAGGAAAGCCTAAATCTACAAAAGATAGAACCTAAAGTAAAGTGGTTACTTAAAAACTCTGTTATGAAGAGGGATTCGTAAATGTAGTTTAGGGGGTGGGTTGGAGGAGGGCTTACCTGTACAACTATATCCAGAAGCAGTCTGTTTTACACTGCCGGCGTCCTTCTCGAAGAAAAAGGTACTCGCGACTAGCCTATGTGCGGCTTCGACGATATCTTGGTGGTTTTGCCGTAACACCTCAGCGGTCTCTTGCTCCACGGAACTTATCTTGTCTAACTCGTCGAATTTTGGTAACTTAGTCAAGAGCTCGGGACAGATGCGCATATGGCGTTGTCGAGTTGACTCTTCCTTCATCGCACTGCTAGACATGAAGCGATTCCAAGTCCTGTCACATTGTCGCTGATTGTTTAACTTGTCTGTCTGGTTTGGGACGGGATTGTTGAAAGAAACTAGCATCGGCGTCTTGGGATCACGGACGACATATCCGCTTGTTGCATTCTCCAGACTTGTGTCATCGGAAGGCAGCAACGTTGCTGAGGCTTTGCGCTTATAATTTCCGGCCCCTCCTCGACCTTGTCTGATGACAGCACTCGTACTAAAACCCGCAGTCGTCACGGTCTCGTTAGTCATAGACCGTGATGATTGAAACGTATTTGGGTCGTCTGTATTACGATCGCCTACATTACGACCCGCGCCGATAGAGAGCATCAGGTCTGGTGGGCGATCTGCTACGTCGCCCCATATTGACTTGGCCTCATAATGGGCAATCAACACCGGGCATGAGTAACGGATATCGTTATTGGCATATTCCTGGCTGGTTTCGGGTTTGAGAAACGGTTTAAAGAAAGGAGGGGTTGCAGATGTCGCGCGGGCGCTATCTCGAGGGTTTGGTTAGCTTGATGTTCACTGTTAAGTCATTAGTTGTAGGGAGTAGGGGGCTTACGCTTCCCACATGCGCATTTCCTTTGATGGCGTATCTGATCTAACAAACCTATACGGAAGTCCTGATATTTTTATTAGAGAATCTCCCAGGAGTACATATGTCAGGGCACACTCACTCTTTTCATGTAGATCCGGACGATTATAGTTGGCAAAGACAACAGCTTGTCGCTCAAGGCCTGTCGAAGCAGTGACAGCAACCTTTGTTGAAGTTGTGACGAGAGATCTATGGGTTGCGGTACCAAAGAAAGGTTGATCAGATAAGTGTTTTCTCAGTGCCTTCGTAAAAGGTTGCGTCTTGTATAGACTACCGTGGTAAAGACTTGATAGTGTACCAAAAAGGGGCATGCTAGTCATCTCTCGAGGTACGAAAGCCTCCTTGCATAGATCCTTGAATTTCCGTATTGTAGCGTCGACGGTCCATTTCTTAACTCCTAATCCAATTGCGATGATACCGCCAGAGCTTAACCTGGTTAGCAAAATCTCCAATTAAATAGTATTCTGAAAACTTACTTAGTACCAACAATCAAGTCGAAGAACAATTGAATAGGTAAGTCTGGACCCAAGACTTTTTCTATCTCGGCGAGAACTTGTAACAGTATGATGCCTCGCACGCCACCACTACAGTCATTTAGTTAGCATATCTCAACACACCTTGCTATGATATGGATCGCGTACCCATCGAGACAAAGCACCCGGCTGCCTGCATAACGTGGCTTCGTCACGATAACCCAGGGTGGATTGGCAATAACATCCCGTACATGTAGAGGGCATCGGCTGATCTCAATAGTGGTTCTCGATGTTCTGGTCCCATATATTTGGGCGCAGGGGAGGCAAAGAACATGACCACATGGCAGTGCGCACTCTGGCAATTCTCTCAAGCAGCAGAGGCAAAAAGAATAGCTGATAAAGTCTGTCGCCACACCTAGTACGTTGGAGTAGAGTTCGTTCAAACGTTCCTGGTGGATAAGAGCAGCAATCTGAAGCTCGCTCCTGTCTGGGAACTCCTGCCCAAGCTTGAAGCTAGAGGCTTGAACTTGGGCCAGGCTTGCTTTTAGTAGTTCTTCCCAGACTGGCCGAAACGCATCAATATCAAAGCTAGATTCGTAGTCGCCGTCGCCGATGATCTTTCCTTGCTTGTTCTGATGCCCTTTGGGATTATGGCCCGATCTAACATTATAGCATCGACCAAGATCTCCGCTAAAAGACGGGTTTGTGAAGCTGCACGGGCAGTACATATCGGCAAATGTCTGTAGCGCACCAGCGCAAGGCTTGGCATAACGATCATCTAGGAGACGGCTTGCGGTACCTACATAGTAATTAGCCACATTGTGTCGAACCAGCCAAGGCAGATCTAAGTTCACCTGGTAGATTCTGACGAACAGCGTCCAGCATCACGCACGATGCTATCATTGGCCCCATCGCCCGAAAGATCTGTTCAGTATCGCAGCTAAGAATCAAATTACTAGATTTCTGTTTGATCGCTAATGCTAGGTTCAATATGTTCCCCTCAAAGTTTCTGGAGATAGGGCTATGCCGAAGAGTCTCCTTCACGAAATCAAACGGCATATTGAGATCTCTAGTAAAATGATCGTATGCTGCTTGAAGGTAGAACTGAAGCTTCTCCGTATTAGCTAGCATGCGCACTTCTCTTTTCCTCAGATACGAAGCCTTGCAGCGGTCTTTCAGCAAGCTAGAAAGCTTGCCAACTTGTTCGTCTATCAACACTGAATCACTTTATGTCAGCGACGGTCAACTAATTGTTATGTTAGGGGTAAGGCCCAGGATATCGAAATCTTCGCCTAGGAGGTAGCCCAAGGGGTGGGTTTTAGGGGTAAGGGATGCAGGAAATAGACCGAGATAAAACATCTTACTATATGACCCCTTATATGGGATCCTGATGACATTTATGGAACCATAATAGCATTCCAGAAGCTCCTTGGTGCTCCTTATGAGCTTTCCACGCCTTCGCCATGTTTGCACCTATTGAATATCAGTACCATTTAAAATTCACTATCTCTTCTTTGACAATTAGCAAAAGAAAAAGATGTGATGGGTGTGAGACCGAGATATACTTAAACATACTGTGAATAAGTTAGCTTGGTTTCCGATAGACGCAGTGGCGGGATATTAGGTGCTCACCATGTTCCTGCAAGGCCGGCTCACGTATGACGGCGTCGTGAATATCTGACATTAGCAATTTCGTAGCCGTCGTAGTATCCCACTCCCTTTCATCGACATTGATATCCGTGGCATTGAATACGATTATCGCATGAGGAAGTACGGGTTGGTTGAGTGATTTATCAACTTAAATATCAAAAGTAAGTGACTGTGCATAGTAGTCAACGTAATATAAATCGTAAATATGAGGCTTCTCGATAGACATAGAACGCTTGGAGAAAGGGGCAAAGTAGGAAAGCGAAAGTAAATAGGGAAAAAAGTTACATACTAGAGGCCGCACCCCAACGTATCAGTTTATCAAGAACCGTTGATTCAAATGATCTTGGATTTCGCAGAACAAAAACTACAACGTCAGAGAAAGTGTACAGAATTCGAGGATACAATTGGCTGACGGCGAATTCTCTCTTTTGGGTATGAGGCGTGTCTGCCCACAGGATCTTTCTAGTCAAATAGTGTCTGTTCGTACTAGTAATGTTCGACTCTGAATTTGAACCTTGTGGGTGATGGCGCAGCTGCTTTGGGATGGCTTCTCCTCCACTCAGACCTTCGCAGTCCACTAATAGTAACGGGTGGCTGCTATATAGAGTTGATGGATCTGCGTACAGATGGACATCGCCTGTGGTGGAAATGCGATCATGGCTAGATGATGTTACCGGGGCATAGTAATTGGAACCCTCAGGCGCCGCCAGGTCATGACGGTCGATGAGGAGTTTGATTAGGGTGCTTTTACCAGCGCCTATGATATAATCAGTCAGGATGTAGATGTAGAAGTATCGCGACTTACCAGTTTCCCCAATAAACGTCGTCAGCTGAGGATATCGCTCGACTGTCTCGTCAGTGACAGTCTCGCTCATTATGGCGGCGAACCGCCCAAAATCGTGGAATAGGGGGTAGCCGAAGGCATCGCGACCAAACCCGAACCAAGTCGTATCGCGGTCCTCGAGAAGCTCGGATTCGTGTTCAGCTTCCGTACGTATCGGTTCTAAGATTTGACGTAACCGGTGGACAACAAGGGGGTCCGCCTTCTCGTGCGGTTTGCCGTTCCTGTCAATCATCCATGGTGGTTAGTCTCCTTCGCGCGATTATGAACAATTTTCTCATAGATATAATATAGTAGTATGATTTTCAGGGGTAAAAGCTTCTAAGATTTATCTACTGACCAACCAACGGCGCCCGGAGTGTGTAAGAACCACTTTGGCCAACACACATCGCAGAAGGCAAAGTTATTGCACTGGATGCAAGTAAACGTCTTCTCGGCATTTGTTCCACATGTCTGGCAGGGTTGCGATAATGATAAACGCCCCGCCATGGTATTTGAAGGTCATGGTAATAGTAGAGACCCTTGAATAGCGAGCATTTAGTCGTTTCTGGTACGTAATCGCTTCTTGGAGAGTTAGTCGGAACTCCTCGGAGCTCGAGAAATAGAGACCCTCGAGCTTTGGGGGATTCGCTTCCCCTCATCAGCAGCATCAGCCGCAGAGGGGTGTCGTTGGTGAAACCTGAATAATCTTTGCTTGGCAGGTTGGACGACACCTAAGAAGGCGGGTAGATAAATGAGGTATCGGATAATCTAAGACACGAATATGACATCTTCTTAAAAGCCAATTCCATGCATAATCTCATAGTGAGTACGTAGGTACCCATCTTATAATAACTCTAGTTATACTTATAGCCTATTGTTCCTAGTTATTCCTATTCCCTACTTGAAAATATATCCCAGATAGAAATGGCTTAATGAGTTGAAGACACTAAAACAATATTTAGCTGTGGCTGAGATCAATTGGCAATAGTCAATTTCATTTTCATGATTGGTTGAAACTAACTGTATCAAGATTCGATCGGCTTTAATGCTGGGTTACATATGCGTACATAACGGACCTTTTTACTATATTTATATTTATTCGTGAGATCTTGAGGCGTGGTACGTACGTAGGCACATATTAACCAAGTTGCTGAGCTGGCCCTCGGGTCTTCGCATAAGGCATCAAAAGTTGACGAGATATACGGCACGCGTCGTATCCAAATAAAGGTACGTTTGGCGTGTAAGCGCGTGGCATTCCTGTGGATATATTCGTAGTGGGGTATTCAACAGGGGAAAACCCCTCCATATCATAACTTGATGCCTGACGCGAAAACTTGATGCCTTATACCAGCTTGTTGGAGCTGCGCCCCAGCAAGCTGAGCTAGCTTCAAAATTGCTGCCCCTGGAGGACCAACCGAACTGAGCGATAACCTCTTCATGACGCGCAGTTCAACTTAACGGTCAGAGTTATAGTTATCAAAAGTAGCAATCTGATCGACATTGATTGTAGAATCACCCAATTAAGGTATGATTAGAGGGCAGTGCTACTAACTCAAGCTAGACTATGGAGTCAAGCTATGTAGAAGTATCCTCAAACATCGCTCAGGGGACGAGCAAAGGTAGAATATATAATGAAGTCTTGGCCCCGTGTCTTCTGATGGAACCAAGCTCTCTTGCTTAGATCTGTTCTGTGTAGACTTGCTACATATTTCTCAATCAGAGTAGTCAGCACGTATCTTTCTAGTTTTCATACCATGGCCTCTTCAACGGCCCTGCCTGTTGCCCTACTGGTCATATATCTTACAATATCTCCGTCCTTAATCTATATCGCCATAAAGCATGGCTTGAAGCATGGAGCGATCATCGGCTGGTCCTTTCTCTTCATATTCTGTACTCTAAGAATCGTCGCGAGTGCTATTGAGATACACGATACTCATAGTTCAAGCGCTGCATTGGTTGCTAGCATTGGGCTGTCTCCCCTCCTTGCTGCTGCTTGTGGCATTCTTCATGAGTCGTAAGTCCCATACGACCTCAAGTACTTCCAACCGTCTCTTTAAAACTCACTATATTACAGGCGCGCTTATACCCTTCCGAAATCACGACGACTATTTGACGCTCCATACCTCATTTTCTTCCATATCCTTGTTACGACTGCAATTGCTCTTGTTGCTGCCGGTGCCTCAAAAATCAACGACGACACGCTGCCACCGGATCAGATCAAGCGAAGCCTTGCTCTAGTGAAAGGGGGCATGATCATATTACTCTTGGGCTGGCTTTCACTTGCAGTGATCACCCTCACCACATTTCGAGACTCCCTGGTCCGCGAGTCGAAGAAGCTAGCGGGGAGTGAGTCAGGGAAAAAACTACTTCTAGCTGTTGCGATTGCTATACCTTTCCTAGGCATTCGAGTACTGGAGAGGGTTGTTTATTTCTTTACTCAAAACCAGGAGTTAAACCCAGTAACGGGTAGCCTTGGTCTACGAGTTGGCCTAGAAGTTATAGAGGAAATAATCGTAACCTTACTCTTTGTCTTCACAGGTATCATGACCCGAAATATTAAAGCAGCGGCCGTGGTGGACTGATTTTAGACACATGCGGAAAATTTCCAAGATGGATGGGTATATGACTAGAGCAGAAGTTCATATTGATGAGGATACTTTTCGGAACGTTATACCCATAGTCCTCATAGCTTAGCATCATACCCGATAAATTAATATCACCAACTTCCGTTTACACTTTCAGAATCAAACTGTCAACAGGCGGCTAGTGTCATAACTATCGCAGACAGGAGCTAAAAGTAAAGTGAACTCTTTTAGTTCTCCATTGTCGACATAACACGGTAGAATATGTAAATAGCAAGTACTTTGTAAGGTTAATGAGATTTGTAGTATGTAATTTATAAAATATCTTTGATATGCCCATCCATATAGTTAAGTGTACGGTCCTCCAGATACATCTCACGCAATAGGTGCATAAAAACTGAATTTCCTCTTTGGGCCATACTTATTCTTCAGAGTTAAGAGCCTTTCCTGGCGCCATTTTTCGTGTCCGTACCAATTCTCCTTTGCTTCATCTCCATATGCATAATTGACGTATGTATGCATCTCACTCCTACCAGTACCCTCGTGAATAATATTACCGGATTGGCCAGCAAGGCACATACCTAACATGTATTATACAAACCATCTGCCTATCTAGCTGGGTACGTCGCATAGACAATGGAGATATGGTAAGAACACTGCGCCGTAAGCTACAAGCGTATAGTAAAGCGTATAGTAGTAAATTCATATGCGAAGCCACGTACGAAGTATGCAATAGTCCTTAAAACCCACCTGTTGACCACGTAGCCCGCATACTTACTTCGGAGCCCGCTTAATACGTTAAATACCTATATCTAACGTTTCCTTTTCCTCTCTCCTTTTTTTGGATTGCTAACTTAAAGGTTACGGAACCAACCGTGAAAACCATCGCCACCTCCTTACCCGGTGTCACGAGCCTAGCTATCTTAGCACCAATAGGTGATGGTCTCTATGCAGTCAGTGGGGGAGTCTTTGAAAGAGCTGTTTTATACTATAAATGTTAATTCCGCCAATACCACCGCCTGGTCGAATAAAAGCTTTAAAAGTCTTCTTGATGATATACTTTTATTAAGAGTTATATTATTTGCAAATTGGTCTACCAGCCTTTCCAGATAAATTATTTTTCAGAATACTGGCATGCCATTTGTTACCAATTTTATTAATAAAATAATATGGTTTAATTCGATTGGTAAAATTAATTTGTAAATAAGATAAATTAATTTATAAATAAAACTTTATTTATAAATTGGTTATTTTAAACAATATTATTTATTTAATAATAATAACAGTAATATAATAATTTTATATATATATAAAATTATTTTATTAAAAATAATAAAACAATATTAATAATATATAAAATAAACTTATATTAAATGATATATTATTAAATAATATAAAATTAATTTATAAATAAAAGTTATTAACGTTTTAATATTAAAAAATAAAGTTATTTTAAAACTTTTAATAAAAATAACTCCGTTTTATAAAACTTATTTATATTATTAATAACGATATAATTAATTATTAAAGACTTTTTTAACGTATTAATAAACGTTATTAAATTATTTTAATTTTGGTTTTTTTTAATTTAATTATAACAAGTTATTATATTTATACGTTAATAAAAGTTTTATTAAATCGGGGCGTTTTTTTTTATACGTTTTTTTACTGGAAAATTTTTTTTTATAATAACGTAAAGCTTTTTTTTTATTTATTAATCTTTTTTTTAACTTTTTTAAAACGATTTTTTTAATAGTTTATTTTAACGTTATAATTATATTTAAAAGTAATTATTTTTTAATTACGGTTAAAAAAAAGTTTAAAATAATTAAATTAAACGTTTTTTTAAATAAATTACTTTTTATATGTTAAAAAAAATTAATATTATTTAACGTTAAAAGTATTATTGTTAAATTTATTATTATAATTTTAATTTTATTATAAATTTTATAATAATAAAAAAGGTTTAAATTCGATTTTATTCCGTTTTTTTTACATTAATATTTATTACTTTACTTAAAATTAAACTATAAAAATATAATTATTAAATTATTTATTAATAAAAATTTATTATTAATAAAATTTAAAGCTTTTTTTATAATTTTTTTTAATAAATTATTAAAATATAATTTTTTTAATTATTGTTTTTTTATTTTTAATATATTGTTAAATAGCCGTAATTTGTAATTTTTTCGCTAAATTTTAAAAAGTTTTTCGAGGTTTATTTAAAATTTTAATAAATTAATATTTTCGTTTAATACGTAATTTTTAAACGTTTTATAATTAATTTTAATTGGTAAAATTGTTTTAATATTATAATTACAATTATAATTTATATAATAAATTATTTATTATTTTTATATTAAAACGTATATATATGTAAAATAATTAATAACAGTTAATTAAATCGATTTAAACTTTTTACATAATTAATTTTAAATTTTAATAAACTACCATTTATATAACGTATATACCATAATTTCCCAAAGTTTATAAAAGCTTTTTTTTATTGTAAAAATATTTTCAAGGTTTAATATTATTATTTTTATTTCTTTTATTAACTTTTTAATTTAACCATTAAATTTTTTAAAAGTTTTATTATTTTTTTATATAATTTTATTTATAACTTTATTTATAACTTTTTTTTTATTATTAAAACTAAAATTATTTCGATTATTTATTTATTTATGTAAAACGTTTATTATAATATTTTTATTAATATAAAAAATATAAATTTATTATTTTATTTTAAAAAAAGTTATTATAATACTTTATTTAAACTTATAATTAAAATTAATAACAATTATTTAAAATTTAAAAATTTAAATTTACATTTATATTATAATTAAACAATGTATAATTTAATCGTAAATCTTTTATTTTTCGTTTAAAATAAAAATAAATATTTTATTAAAAATTATACCAGTTTTTATTTATTTTATATAATTAAAAAAAAACATATTAAATCGATTAATTTTATAAATATTATTTATATTAAAAATTTAAAAATACCGTTTTTACATTTTAATACAATGTAATATTGTTTAAAAAAAACTAATAAATTAATTAATTAATTTATTATCGTTTTACCATTTTATTCGAAAGTAATAAACAATTTTACGTATACATTGTATAAAAGTTTAAATAACCGTAAAACTTTTTTATATATATCGTTTAATTTTTTAACGTATATTATTAATATTTTTTAAAATAAACTTTCTTTTTTTTACCGTAATTTTATAAATAAACAAACGTAATATTATTTGTTATAATAAATTATTTCGTATTAAAGTTTTAATTTATTATTAAAAGTTATTTTTTAAACAATAGTATTTTAAATAAAACTTAATTTAAAAAATAAACTTATAATTATATTATAAAAGTTTTCCATTTTAATTTAAATAAATTTCGAAAAATTATTGTTATTTAATAACTTTAATATAAATTAATTTAACTTTTTAAAAATTGTAAATATAACAAAATATCCGTATAAATTAAATAATAATAAAAAATGATATAATAAATAAAAAAAAGAAAAAAAAAATTTAATACGAAATAAAATTATTATAATAATTGTTATTATATTAATTAATTAATGTTATATATATTAATTACGAATTATATATATAAATGTTATTTAAAAAAAATTACCTTTTATGTAAAAATTAATTACGTATTATTACGTGATTATTTTTACGTAATAATATTTTATTATTAATAACTTTTTTTTTTTCCTTTTTTTTTTTGTATAACGTAATTATATATAATTTAATTAATGTAATATTAATAAATTTTTTTTTTTTTTTACTTTTAATCCGTTTTTTTTATATTATAACGTAATTGTTAATAAGTTTTAATTTATTATAATAATAATAAGTTTAAATAAATTAAATATATGGTTGGATTTTTTATTATATTAATTAAAGTTAATTAAAGTTAATTAATTAAAACGGTTAAAATAAAAGTTATTTAGTTAAAAATAAAGTTATTTTTAATTAAATTATTTAATTAAAAACGAAGTTATTTTCGTATTATAAATTGTTTAATTAAAAATAAAGTTATTTTTAATTAAATTATAAAAATTATTGATTTAAATTAATTAAAAATAATTGTATATTATGGTAAATTTAATATAATTAATTAATTTTAATTTTATAATAAAAATTTTTAATAATTTTAATTTTTTTATTTAATATATTATCTGTTAAATTATACCTTTTATTTTTGTATTTATATTTGTTATTATTATAATATACTTTAATATAATCGGTAATGTTTTATAATTTTATCGGTTATATATACGTAATAAATGTATTAAACTTTAATAAAATTATTTGTAAAATTAATTTCGATATTATTAATTATAATATTGGTTATATTTATAAAATTAACTCCGGTATTATTAATTATTTTACATTTATTTTATTTAATTATATAGTTTATATTTAAAATGGTTTAAATGTTATTTTTAAATAAATAAATATTTATTATTTAAATTATATTATTATTACAGTAATTTTATTAAAGTTATTAATATAATATAAGTTAATTATTAAAATAAAATTATTAAAATAATGTTTTAATAAAAATGTGTTTTTATTAAATAAAAATTTCGTGAATTTTTTAACGTTAATTATTATTTTTAATTTTTTAAAAATGGTTTTTTCGTTAAAATATATTTCGTGATATAAAAAATAATCCGTTATTAATTTTTGGAATAAAAAATGTGTTTTTTAAAAGTGTTTTATTTATTATTTTATAAAAAAAATTTTAAAATTATCTCATATATTTTTATTATATTTATTATTGTAATATTTAAAATAATATGTAAAGTTTTTTGTATAATATATATATTAAAAGTTATGGTATTATTATAAATAATATATAATAATTATAAATAATATATAAAGGTTTAAATTATTTAAGGTATAATTACATATAACGTAATCTTTATATAATTAATTGATTATATAATAGTTATGGTTAATGTTATAATTTTTTATAACTGTTATAATGGCTATGTTATAACCATAACTATTTATTTTATATAATATATCTTTTAAGTAAAAGTAATATATTATATTTTTAAGTTTGTTAACATTACCAAAAATTATATATATAAGTAATAATTTATTTTA